TTGGTGTATTGCAATTGCCCGAGCGGATATCGCCTGTAGAGGTCCTTGCTGCATCGGCCGAGGGGCACCGAGGCTTATTTAGACGCGCGAGTCTGTGCGCACGTACGTGCTTAGGTGAATAATTTAAGGTCAATTGTTGGGACCGCAGGAACGCCGAAGGACGGGGAACGCTGACGCAGCTGTTATGGGTTAACCAGACGCAGCTACGAGGTCAAGCCTTGGGGGGCTGGGGCGCCAGTGAACGAAAGCATTGGAACAATTGCTTGTGATGACACGACTATGGGGCTGCTTTGGAGGACGAAGTGGGGTGGGACGTGGGCGTCCGCCCAAAATGGACTTTAGTCGAGTAGATCCAAGGTCAGCCGAAACGAATTGAAAATTCACGTTGTCAAGGCCCGGTGCTGTTCATGTCAGTCGCCAATTTTGATCGCTGATCTCTTCCCCCCATGAGTCGGCCAACCGAAAATGCATACTTTATCACAACTGAACCTTCCCTCTTTCGGGTTGGCGAAAAGCGTGGAGAAGTCACCTGAAGAGGGAAAATATAGTCGCACAGTCGAGACGTGGTTTGAGCCAACACCGACAATCATGAGAGGACTTTATTTGTCTTTAGCAGTTCTTCTGCGCTTGTAACCTATTTTCTTATTAGATAAGGTCCTCGTTTTGACACAGCTTTTGACTATACTTGAAATGGCTAGTAAATACATTCGAAAACGGTGTATATATAGCGTGGAAGGGTCGTTCTGTAGATCCGCCCACGTTACATACTCGTTCAAGTTAAGAAGAAAAAAAGGACCTTGCCTTGCTGGAATGGTGGATTTTTCATCCGAGTTTTCGAACTATTATTGGAGTCCATCTTCAAAGATAAACGTGTCAACCAAAAAAGGCAACAGTTATAGGGGCGGGGCCTAATCAATCAGTAGTGAAGCCAGTCCGGAAACGTCTGCGCCGGGTTCTGTATGCTGGCGCCAGATCGATAAATCGATTGACTGAGTTCTCATGCGAGATCTAGGCTTCGATTAATTTCCGGCTTGTCTTGCTTTTAGCGTGAGCGATTACCCCCATGGTGACGAAGATGAAGTCCGTTTCCTAGGTGTGGGCAGTCACGTGTGAAAAGCCGTCTCCCTGTCCTACACGCAGTTTCAAATCGTATATCCACGGCAAAAGGTGGAAATGGAGTGCACCTAATATACCTCCTAGTCCCAGTTTTTGTTCTACGGAAACGGTGGTTATAGGGTTCATGGAGGTGGGAAAATAGGATATGTAGTGAGAGAAATTTGTAGAAGTGGGTGTGAATTTAAAAAATGTAGTCGCGCCACGAACTATACCAATCTAACTCCAGAACGGTAAGTTGGACCTCCACTGAGTTGAAGTAGACGACCTCCTAACCACCATTTCTATTTTTCGGGAATTTCATGAAACCTGCCATTTGATAATCGGCTTTTTCCGTAATTCGTTAATTGGTAATACAGATTATGTAAATCTACAGATATAAGTCAAGAAAATTTCTATAGACAATTAAATAAAAATGCATATAGCAGTTATTAAAGTGTATTCCACTGCCCATCCTAATTGTCCACCCATAAAACCCTATAACCACCGTTTTAGCAGGATAAAGAGGATTAAAGATGTGTACTACATAAACTACTGTTGCCCTATCCACACATGCGTCCAGTATATTCTGCGTAGTTTCTAGGGCAGTTTAGGCAAGGTATGTGATACGCAACACCCGACTGCTCACAAGGAATTAATCGGTCTCCACCCGTCTGTTTGTACCTCAAGCTCAAGCTTATCTACGGACGGTCCACACCTGCATCCAATATGCGTTATCGTTCTGTCTCACTTGGTTCGCTGCGACGATTCCAAGGGGTGTAGTGCCTGCGAGCAGTTATGTTTTTCGACATGTGCGGTTGCTATGACGACTTATGATACAACAAGTATTCGATGCCTTCTTTAACATGTCTGTTTTCATTTCTTCATCATTTTGTACAGACAAGCACGTCTAGAAACGACAGCTCACAGTGGACTGGGAATGTCAATCGTGTCTTAATGATACCGTGTCTACAACTTTGCCTCTGGTCGCTGCAGTACCATACCAGCAATTAGGCTGGACACCGGTGATCCTGTCGGTGTTTAGTTAAGTTGCTGGAGTCTAGTTCCTCAGGGACTTAAGGAAGTAGTGCTTCAAGAGACCATTGTGGGCCTTATCTTAGCCCTTCTGTCCGCTTGGTTCTGGCACGTTTCCATCAGGAAGCGTTAGGGTTCAGTCGTAGGGTTCTGTGGGATCGAGAGCAAAAGTGACGTTTCGTTGAATAAAAATGTCCCCTTACTATTTGCATACCACCACCTCGCAGTTTGGCATGAATCACTAAGACGAATAGACATTCATTTTCATGCCCCGAAAGCACCACTTCGCCGATCAAAACGCTGCGGTCATTTTGAGAGCAACACCTGGCCGTACTGGGGCTCCTGGCCTATGGAGACTCTACAGACAGTACCAGTTCGCAATCGTGTTGTTCTTTGGTTTTACTGTTGGCAGTGCATAATGGCATATGGTAGTTTCAAGTAATAAACACCGACAAAAAAGTGTGCTTTGAATTGAAGTTTCTGGCTTATTGCCTCTCGTCGACCAGTCATGCCAAAACTCAGGTCTCGATGACCTGAGAATCGAACTCTTATTGTTTGTTCATTGAGAGTAAAATTCCACCCTCTAATATTAAGCCACGCATCCGCCGTCTAATCGGTTGTGGTCTTGATAATTCTCTGCTGCATTCATAGTGGTCGCCAGGCAACAGCCTGTGAAAGCCCTAGATTGGGTCGCAAGAAGCAAGGGGATGGAGATACCTCCTAGCCTGATAAATCAAGACCCTTTTAGAAATTTAGAATTGTTAATAAATTTCAAACCAAATTAAGTGCCAACTTTAAAGGCAGACGGTGTTACGAGCAGACATAACAGACTCGTCATCACGCTGTACTGATGACTCGTCCCACGGTGCATTATCGATCGGCACAGGCCGCGCGCGTGACGAGATCGCACAAGTCGCCCGCCGGGATTATTGCTCTGTCCTATCACTCTGGTCAGCCGGAATGCCGGTCGCCGTATCGCCCTTCAAGGGCGCAATCTCATTGGTCCCATTGCACCTGCCTGTACATGCGCTGTTCGCCTTAAATATGCTATACAAGGCACACTAATAAACCTCCACCTTTGTGCCCTTCGTGTTGTGTTCTTCCTTGGGGATTCAAACAAAGCGTAACTAGACGGGGACATCTTGGCTTCGGGAATATTACAACAAACAGTGCTTTCAGAAAAACAAAATTACTTCGATGCTGCTGATTGCCGAGACAAGCAGCTAGTTCCTGCAAGTACAGAAAACCATTGAAGACGACAATGGCAGCTATTAATATGCAAGTGCCGAACTTTCGCTAGAAGCACTTAGTTCAAGTAGCGAGATAAACAACATTCGCGATTGGTAGGCGATGTTGACGTTAGGTCAGCATGCTCTAAGCCGCGTGAGAATGAAGTGAAACAGTGATATTTGGATAACCGATGGAGGCGAGGGTAGACTAGTTCGTGCTTATCGGGTATTTGTGTGTACTACCATCATGGACATGCAGTGTAAGAGTGGCGAACGGGGGTCGGATGTGCACTTTCGCGAACGTGTCCCTCAGCAATCGCTGAACCATGGTGAACACAAAGCCTGGACCGGGATAGGATGTTCGCTGCTTCTGCCTCCTATAGAGTCGGCTATATCAGTGGCCCGGAGCTGCTGTTTGGTCTCGTTTCCTTTATTTTGTACCGACCAGGAATTCGGATACAGTGCTGTGCTGATGGCAATCTATCGAAAACAACCGTTTGCAAAGCTGCTTTCTTGCTTTCTTGCTTTAAGCGTTCAACAGTTTCTAGCTCCCCTGTCCTTGTACACTTCACTGATTATGCTCATATACCCGCAGTGCCTACACGGCCTTTATCAATCATGTGGACGGCGGAAGTAGGGGTTGAGTGACTCTGACTGCACGTTTGTTTTTACCCTCCCAGGTACCTGCATAACCCCTTCCTCATAAACAACAGCAAATTTGACCTGCGCATCTATGTGTTTGTCTACTCCTTGAAGCCCCTCTGCGTGTTTGTTCATGAGGACGGTCTTGCAAGGTTTGCCTCTCAGAAGTGAGTCTCTACATTAGTTGCCTCCGCAGTTCACCGTTAGTGATCGCATTTGTTGAATGGTTTGTGTTTACCATCTGCCTTTTAGATATTCCAATTCACCGCGCCTGGTGGGAAATCGGTTCATCCACTTGACAAATTATTCTGTTAATCGTCTAAATGTTGAGTACATTGCGAACACTAGTGAAGAGAGCTGCAAGGGTCACAAGTGGTAAGTTTTGACACACTGGATAATTTTTTTAAAATTTAAAGGGCACTACAATTTTTTTTCAAACTTATGAAATCTGCTCTGTTTAAACAAAGGTAGCAGTCAGATGCGCGTTCGTTTTATCATTGCGTGATCGAGTGTCTGTAACTGGTTTCGGCTTACGTGGTAACAGTTGTGGCAGTCACAGTAATGGGGTGCTTGCATACGGAAATCTTTTAGAAAAATTATTGGGTAGAAAATGAAAGCAGTCGTGTCTTGGGTTTTAATCCGCAAGTGAGTGTCAGTTCACAAAAATACTGGCCAGTCGGAAACCGCCGAATTTCATCCACCGAAAAATTCCATTTCATAATGAATGACCTTTAGAAAGTTTAAAACGCAAAATAAATATTGAAAATGGCACTACTTTGTTGGTAGAATCTAAGAGGCAAGCTCCAGGAAGCAGTTCCCTCGCATTATGCCTAGGGGTACCTGATTACTTTGGCTGAGCCGTTGTCAGTCAGTTATCTTGTTTAGATGGTTTTATAAGGAATTCTTACTTCAGCACCCTCAAGACAAAACGGTATTATTTTATTCCAAAACAAAAGTTTGGCGAACAAAAGTTTTCGATCATGCATCATCAGGCAGGTACAATAATACAAGGGAGGGTCGAATTAAGAAAATTTTAAGCAACTTATCAGAAGAAAGTGGAGAAACAGGATGGGAGAGGTGTTTAGGGATAAAAGGCTCAGTTTATAGTCATAATTAGGCACCAGATAGGAGAAGGGGGAAGGGTTCTCACAATTAGTTCATGTCGTCCCGTAGTCCCTGTCTAACGTCTTTTTGGGAGGTGTCAAGGCGCAAGGTGGAACGACCTCGCGACGAACTGGAAGTCGTTTAGATTCGTGCTTTTGCTGTCTCGTCGAGACGTTCGTTCGCTTAACTTGAATACCTAAATGGGTATCATCGCCTTTCAGAAGAC